AGTGGACTTGCCACAACCTTACTTTTGGTGGAGATCTCGAACCTTGTAATCATATCGGTAGGTGACCATTGCCAAACACAACGCTGATGATACATCGGGAAAGACATGTCAGAGTAGATTTCGATTTGAATGGTTTCAATGAAGAATTCCGCGTACCTACAATTTTTTCAATGGCGGCCTCACCATACCTGTTGACGGATTTTTGATAAGAATATGCAGTATCCGCGATGTAACCAGTAGCACGAAAGAGGGTTGATGTGAACAGATGTGCTGTAGTGCCAAAGCAGGCATTCCGGGGAAACTTCCGCGAGAGAGTCTGTGCCACAACGGCGCATCCATCTATTCATATATAACACATCGAAAAACTTGTGCTGTCAAACCCTGATATTATAAATAGACCAACGAAACTTTGTCGGAGATGATGGCGAATATGCCACTGGCTCGTTTAATTGACTTTCCCGTGTTAATGACTCGGAAGTTTATTTAACAGTCCAATAAGATTGCAGATTAGTTATGCAAAGAGCTCACTGGAGACCTTTTCATTGCGCTAAATTCAAAATCTTCCCACAGTGGCAGTCGGTAATAACTCAAATTCCAATCCTACGGCAACTATATGACACAAAAAATTGGCTAACCAGCTCCTCGGCATGAGATGCTACTTTGATCATTTTATTTCTGTTGCCAAATTTGATTTATCATTGATCGACTCTTTTCAACACTCAGTTTTTTTGAATTCGAGGGCGATTTGTGACTCAGGTTCTTCTCAAATCGGTGTCTGATTTTCGTGAAGGCGGCGGTGGCTGTTACGCAGCGGAAGCTAGACAATCTCGGGTGTTTGTAAGAGAGATACATGACTAGGCGATGTACTCTTTTGAAAATATCGGCATGATTGAGCTGATCGCCGGGCGAAGGAACCCGTTCCATGCCGATGATGCACTCAAGCTTCTGCAGCAGTCAATAGACCGTGTATTTAGTGCGGAAACAAAAATCGGTGACTTTCCGTTCGCTGAGATATTTTCCGTAGCCTCAACGGAACGCTCACAATTGAGAGGTTCTATTACGTTGAAGGCTCCGAAAAATTATGAAGATCTTCGTCAGCTTGTATATCCTCTTGGGGTTCATCATAAGTTCTTCACAAAAACACCTTTTTCTCACACGATTCATGAAGAGATCAAACAAGCTTATGTCAATCATGGTTGCGATTCGGTCTTTTCTAAGAGTTCTCATGTCGTCCTTGTCGGCTTTAACATTCCGGCCGCTCTCTCGAGACGTTACCGAGCTCAGAAGACTAATGTAAAAGCAATAATTGATGTCCATCAGCCCTATTGCACGTCTAGACTAAAAGTCGAACAATGTTATTCCCAAGGAGAGTTCCTCTTGGTTGACATTGCAAGCAAATTGGTGGGATTATCTAATTTTCAGTTCTGTGCTCCGATTAACAGAGCACTGTACAACAAAATAGAAGCGAGTGATTGTAGCCGAGCAGCGCTAGAAGCACACCTCTTCAACTAAAAGTAATCAGCACTTGCAAGGTGATCAATCGCACCATCACCAAATCCAATCGTGTTCTTAAATTATGTTATGAACGTAGATTCTTATCCAAGAAGATGACATGTGTTGAGTGTCCATGGCATATATAACTAAATCATGTTGCTCCAAGACAAATCGATCTTCCTATCTTGTGCGGGTGGACAGACCTATCGCACAAAATAACCTGACACAATATCCATTCAAATATGTACATCATATGCACTGGAAGTCATGGACCTTTACTCTTACCAAAATATTTTATTTTAGAAGTTTTGTTGCACATCTCATTTCCTTCGCAAAATGCCTATTTGGTTTCCTGTCCTGCTCGCGAAGTCTATGCGGTCCGTATATTACCCTTTCCAATGACATTTAGCTCCCGTCGACATGACCTGTGTAAGGTTGCAGGAATGGGAAGGATCAATGACCACCAATCACTCATTTCGCAAGTGCCACAATGAAAATCGCAATGAGCCTCACAGGTTGATCTGTGTATGGTCTAATGACTTGAGTGCGAACCCCTCGCAAATTTGGAAGACAAGTTGAGAGATTATTATGTTTCTGATCAAGTCGTTGAATAATAGTATTCTTCGGCATTATCTTGAGGCAGATACACGCATACTCTAGATATGGTAAAAAGAGGAATCACCGCGACGCCATGGGTACATCCTATCTTCATTTGCATATCAAGCAACACGCCTCAAAAAGAAATGAAACGCAATCTATCATTAACTCTAAATGTATGAAGATCAAAAGATCTGTAGGATTCTTAAGATATATGGAAATAGTAGCACTTCCCACCACTTTAAGTCTAAGTTCGAAGATTATGGCTGTGGTATGGAAGCGGTGGATGCAGTATAGCTCCTAGTTTATGACTATGTACATCGGTACCATTATTATTACTATCAAATCTGCACAAAAGGGACAGAAATTATATATCTGGATATGCGTGGATATTCTTGTCCTTCGGTGCCTTTCTCATTTCGGCCAGGAATAGATGAGCAACTTCATAAGACTAGTCATGTCACATCAGGAAAATTTCAGTTTAAGAAGACCCCAATTTTAATGAGAAGAAAAAAAGAAGCACACATGCATCACCTACCACAATCAGCGATCTACTCATAAATTCTTCTATTCCTTCAGATAGCTCTATACTGATTCCATCGGGTCAGTTCTTTCAAAACCTCCCATCTTTTGTCTCAGTTCCTGACACTAAAATATGCGCGAGACTTTGTCATGGATTCATGGTCCATTTATACCTTACTTCCACCACATCATCGAATCCTGTGGATCCCACCAACCTACCGTTCCCCAAGTCGTGAAGCTTTTGTCAAACGTCTTCCCCCATTTCCCACACGAGTTAGTCTCACGCAACGTATCGTTATCGGAAACCGCTCATACGCTATGCTCCAAGATCTCGACACAAACACCTGTTGCAGAAATAAATATGTCTCTGGAAAGAAACTGACCCAATCAATGACAGTCAACCAATTCTCGTGTATGAATGAAGATATGTTTCTTCTTGGGAGATGTCCTCTCGAGGGTTGTGTTCTCGATCTCGATGACGCAAGTGGATGGGATGAATAAGGTCTGGATAGAAAGCTTAGTACTAAGCAAACATGCGAATGGATTTGCTTCAGCCATATTTCTCCGACCAAATCAGGATAAAGATTGGAAGTAAGACCATGTAGCCTTCAGACACTCAAACTTACATTGCCCATACCCCGGTGCTAGTTGTTACACTGTTACAATCAAGATCAGTGGCAGCGGCTAGCCTAGATTGGAAGACTTCTTTATTATTATAAAATTTGGAATATAGATACAACGGCGTAGATACAAAGCAAAAAAAATAAACGGTGGGAAAGGGACCCAAAATTGGGGGAAAGAAAGAGCCTGCTATATTTACTCTGATACATTTTGAGTTTTTTGGAACTGAATGAAGTTTACCATCCAGTGCCATCAGATACACATGGTGGGCAGAATCTTGTGATTCACTGGATGATTCGTCTTTTAGTACCTGCTTATAAAGTTGAGTTTCTGTCCTATTTTCAGATAACAGCATCCCGTACTCCCCATCTTGACAAGCATGATTACGCCTCCCATTCTTGTAGCTGTAACCTGTGATGTAGCTACCCGATGTATCGGTATCATATCCTATTAAGGAACCATCCAATGCAGAGTCACAATAGTCAAAGTATTCTTTATGCCTGTTTGTCGTCATTCTGAAAATTTTCAAAACTCGATGGGATATCGATATTTGGTTTATCATGGCGAGACTCCGAAAGCGATATTTATAGAGACAAATAGTGCACGGAAGGTATCTCAGGAGTGAGAAACGTGTGGGAGGTCGAAGGATCATGTTTTAAATGATTCCAACTTCATGGAGTGATAAGATCATTCAAATTTGTAAGTCAAATTGCAATTCTGAATTTCAGGCCCATTAATCCGACTGTTGGGAAATTTTCGTCTCCGGAACGAATTCGACTTCTCCATTTTTCGCTTCTGCTTGTGCAGAAACCAGGCAGTAACGCCTCTAAACTCCATTGGATTTTATTCAATGATCAAGAAATCCGTTTTAATTGCGTATAAAACGAGTAAATGTTCACAAGCATTGGTGACTCGGTTTTCAACAAAAAATAATCAAATGATAGAGGCGCAAAAGGACGAGTTGTGGCTTACGGATACTACTTCCAACCGCTGATGGTGTTCTAGTTAGGCAAGACGTCGAGGCGACGTGTATAGTGAAGTACTATTTTTACTTGGACAATAATCCAAAGTAATCACGGGTTTCTTCATGAGATTAGGAGAGACGCCAAGGAGTGCGGGGCGAGCCGCAAGTAGTGTGTCTTAGTCGACGGGGTCAGAACATCTTGCGAGAGACCTTTCCATGTACATCACCTCGCCGTCCAAGCCTGCTAAGGTAGGTGGACCATGTTGTACTGAACTTCTCGAGGTTTCTGTTACCATAATCATCTCTTCTTATTGCTGTCTTCGTCCTCTTGTTTCTAATGCAAGAATATTGCATTGTCAATCACGGACACTTCGGCTCGTCATGATTTAATCAACAATGATTGAGATGAGGTTTTATCCACACAGTTTATCGAAAGTGGATGCTATGATACTTCCTGATACAGATAGAGACTTCCACCGATACCAAAATGTATCACATACCCGCGACTTACAAGATATCATTCACCGATGATCCAGCTCTTCAAAGACAACATGAATCGGGGTTTCCGATCAAATCCAATCACGATCTAGATTGATCTACCACTAAGGCAATAATCTTGCTTCATTGGGTTCCGATGTAAGTGAACAATTGTCAAAGATAGATTAGTTCCAGGGACGTGGTTTTTCCTCCACAATAACTTTGAATTGTATAAGAGACTCTCATCGTCGAGCTTTTAGTACCCGTCAAGTTTTTGTTCTTAATTTCATTTCCTCTTTGTATCAATCGTCATTTCAACAAAGTTATGGGGGAAAACATTCAAGATTCTCCGCTAGGTCCATCCGACCCCGTAATTATAATTGGAGCAGGTAGGCACAAACTTGGCGCTGAGAATGGTCCTTGCGTATTAAGCACTTGCTCACCATTTCATGTTATCTCATAGGGTGTACAGGCCTTGCCATAGCACAAGGACTTCATAAAGTTGACATACCTACAATTCAGCAACGCGCAACTGCTAATCGCAATATTAGGCAGGAATTCGAACAATTGTGTTCGAAAAAAATGCTGGCATATCAATTCCTGGTCAACGGGATTGGAATATGGGATTTCATTGGGGAATGAATGCCTTGAAGACTCTGATACCCGAATCTGCCCTTGACAAACTACAATCTTGTCAAGTCGATCCACATACACCCACGAAACCCCTTGATACCCTTTCATTCCTCAATGGGTCAACAGGAGATGTTATGTTTGCTCCGGACATTCCATACTTCCACAGACTACGACGATCCAAACTTCGCGCGCTGTTGACCCAAGACCTCGACATCCGATGGAACAAACGATTGAAAGATATAATATTTGCAAATGATGGAAAAAGTACAACTTGTGTCTTTGATGATGGTCAACATATAACTGGCAGATTGGTAGTTGGTACGGACGGTGCAAGGTCAACTGTTAGAAGACTACTTCTAGGGCCCGAGCAGTCTTTGAATACACGACTTCCATATGCTGCTTCGTTTGTGCAAGCAAAATATACTCGAGAGCAAGCTCTTCACCTTCGCTCATTTCATCCACTCTTCCTGGCTGCACCTCATCCTGATAATCTTTTTGCATTCTTTGGTTTGCAAGATGCTCCAGACCCGGAGAAGCCAGAAAGTTGGACCTTCTTCTTTTTCATTTCATGGAATTCAAGTGTTGAAACTCAAGATGCAGAATCTAAGATATTTGATAATGCAGCAAGGTTAAAACAAGTTCGAGAAATGGCCAAGGGCTATGCGGAGCCTTGGAAAAGTGCATTTGAATGGTTACCCGAAGATCAACCAGTTTGGTATTTTGGACTTGCTGTGTGGGACCCGAGAGAAGATGCCCATCGATGGGATAATAGAAATGGAAGAGTGACATTGGCTGGTGACTCTGCTCATCCAATGACTTATCGTGAGTGCCAGTCCTTTACTCGAAAATATATGCTGACCTGTCGATAGAACGTGGCCAAGGTCTCAATCATTCCATCACTGACGCCGGAAATCTTGTCAAATTACTCAAAACAGATGCTTGTCAAAGCTCTTCTATTGATAAGTATGAAGAAGAGATGGTTGCTAGAGCTGGCGAAGAAGTACATCTCAGTGTTATCAATACAACAATGCTACACGACTGGTCGAAGGTATTAGAAAGCCCGGTATTCAAAAAAGCTTTGACAAAGCAGTCATGATCATTTTCTTTACTCTCTTTGACAAGACCCAGAGAGATGTCGCATGTTAGTGGTATGAGAGATGACGAATTTGGGATTTGATTACCAACGATCATGACCAATTTTATCAACCATTTTCAGGAAAAGTATTCAGAATCCTAAAAAAAAAAATTGATATTTTATTCCAAATCAGTTTCGCTCTTATTTCAAACATCCAAAATTTTCGAAGCTAACACCTGGCTTTTCTATCGTATCCATCTTTGCTAGTCAAATCTCTATTCACCTATGTATCTCTCAATTTGTAGAAGTAAGAGCAATCATTTCCTAAAGCATAGAAACTAGGTTACAATATCCGAGCATCTTCGTCCGGTATGACTCTTAAATTCCATTCCCCTACAAAAATGTTGTTCTCCAATGCAGTCTGCGATTCGGAGACCTATCGAATTCATGAATGGAGTAAGAACATGAAAGAATTCACCGCAACAATTCTCCCTGCTTATTAAACCCCCACATGATTTTACTTACATCCGAACTCACGGAAAAACCATCCCATTTCTCTAGACATCAAGAACACAGCCTATCTTATTATTTCCCGTCATTCAAACGTCGCATTGCATTCATGTATGCTAATCATGAAACATCCATGGTTAAAAACGTGTCCCCCCTTATCCCGCAGGAATCTGACAATACCTCCTCTTGTAGAGCAAAACCAAAGAGTCCCGGATTACTCCCCAATCTCACCCAAGAAGCCGAGCCATGAGGCCAAGTCAACTACTATAATTTCCTATCTAGCTCGTGGTTGCACACCCTTTCTGTGCCTTCCGTACGCATGTCAACAAGGTCTCTCTTGCAGATCTCAATATGAAAGCGAACGAGCCTCAACTTTGGGGGCTGTTGATTGTGTTAACACGTGAAAAGACTTTTCAAAATGGCGGACGGAAAGAAAATATGAATGCTTATTCTAAGAAAAGGGACTGGTATCTCGGGGATTTCCTGGATTCTTCTCTAAGCCTTCTTCATCATGCTGTCTGCGCTCCATGTCGTAGTTTTTGGATTTCTGTAGTCACCAAGCACTACTTGATGATTAGAATGGCTGTGTGAGATCTATATGACAGGGGAAAAAAGTGCTAGGTACCAGATCTTTAGCATACGAAGCTCAATACGAGAAGTACCGTGCCGTACTTTATTTGGAAGGAACGAAGTTAATGTATATACCGTATGCTCCCATCATTTTGGTCGTTTACCGATGTACCCTTGGGAATGATCTCGTAAGATTTCCTAAATGGATTAATTAGAAAGGGTGAGTGGCTGGGATGCATTGATTTAGCCCCCAAATTTCGGTACACGATACTTTCGACAGTTGAATGGGCAATTTGACGGCGCAAATAAAAGATCTGGGTAGATCTGTATTGTAATATTCCCAATCAGGATGTGAGATAAATGTATACGCACACCTGTATCTCTGTCCCATGTCGCTATAGTTGTGCAGCCGTCACTATTGCAATTTGATATTCGGTTAGACACACGTTTTGTTTCTGCCTTCTTCTCCTAGATGTGATCATGATAAATCTCCAATGTAAGTTCCCACAAAATGATACCCCACCGGATGACTCCTCGGATAACATCACATCCAACGTACATTTTGAATGGCTATTTCTGGCATACAATATAGCACGATCCTAGAATTATATGATCTATGAATGGAAGAATCAAATTGATCGACAATTAGGAAGTTGGATCACAAGATTTGATATCTATTCCTCACCTCCCTAATTTGCTCCAACAAATATCTACACAACACTAATAAAAGTGCAATGTTGTATCTACCAATAAATACATGATCATTGACATAATTGTCCTTTCAGACTCTATTAATAGAAATCAAACACAGAATATTTCGATCAGACGAGGCTTGGCGACAATTTCACTCAGGTTTTCGATTCTCTAACCTGTCGCGGGCGCTAATTGATGACATCCGTGACCTATCAATCCTGTTTTCGCAATCCAAAACATCTCCCAACTCCGATTTTCTTCCATCCTTCTGGCACCCACTAATTTGATTGGGATTTGCCCAAGCTTTGAACTGCCGATAAGCCCTAACACTAATTTTTTAACCCCCCCCCCCATAAACGCGTCTTTCCAGGCATGATTTATATCACGAGGTAACGTTCCATTGTTGTGGAGATCTGGCTGCTCACTGTGGTGAGCTGTGTACTACTAGATAATTTTGAATAAGATTCGGAGGAACCCATCGGTGAGCATTTTGATAGAGATGATATTATATGATCTTGATGTCTATGGAATTTCTGCTTTTGTGCATCGCGGGATGGCTGTCTAGGGACCTTAAGTTCAGGGCTTGGAAGGTCAAATTTGTCACAGTGGACTACTAATGATGAGAAATTAAGTGAAAAGTTACGGCGCGATGCCGTGATGCCTGTTATGATCTCCAAAGCTTGTATTTTGTCAAACTGTTCAAATCATTTGTCACGATATCGTACACTTCTCAACCTGGACACGACGACACGACTGACTCGGTTCTCGGTGGACAGAAGAAGGCAGTGCTAATTTGATGACCTATTCATCTCTTGGTTGCTTATTCATGATGATGTTTACTCAGCCAGAGCCCCATACCAGCCAGCCTCTCCATCATTCATTATCATCATCTCATATGTTTATTCTCCAAATTGTTTTGAATTTTATTCAAATGGACGAAGCTTTCGAGTTAGTTCCCAGACGGCGAGAGTGCGGAAAGGACGAGAAACGTTCGGCAACAGCCGTGTATTGTTTGAGATGTAGGGGTGACGATGAGAGGGGAGGGGTGTGTTCACGAATATCAGGTTAGACAGATTACAATAAGCAACAAAAAGATCTGAATTTCCGAAAGTCTATTAGTCATTAACAAAATCAAGAATCAGCATAACTTATTCTATCTAATTGTTGTTTTCATTTAATGAATACTAGAATAACCGCGTGAGCTCGACGGAAAGACATGTACAAGTCCCCCCCTCCGAATAGATCTACAGTAACCTAGAAATCTATATTTGACGCAACGTATGTTCAGCGAGGTTATCCAAAATGACTCAATATTCCAATGTGAGAATTATAGGCCTACTCATTATCGGCGACGGTCATGAAATGACGCGAACTCGGGGTCGCTTGTATGCACTGTAACTGTCAAACCATGCAAAGCAAGTAATCGATCGAGTTTTGGGATATGAACAACAAAGTAACATGAAACGGCCTTGTGGTGGACAAGATCTGCTAGGATCTGGCTCTGTCAAGTATAACTAAGTTTTAATAAGATAATCTCGTGTATGTAAGTATATTATCCATTGCGATAGGGTGGGGGTTTCTTCATGGTCATGTTCTTAGGTCGGACAAATACGGCAAATCCCCCAAATGTCAAAAAGATATTTACTAAGATTTTAATATATTATACAATATCCACCTTGCGATAAAGTGAGAATCCCGTTCCGGGGAATCCTAAACCAAACTCCCATTGGCATGTTCGTACGAATCCCTTGTGATTCCATAAAAGCACAGCGCCTGGAAGTGCTCGTACTCTTTTAGGAATCTAGACGAGTCACAAGTATGTATCCACATATCAAAGCCTTCAGAATTTCTTCTTTGGGACTTTCGGTGAATTTTATGAGTGTTAATTGGTTCTGTTAGAAGTAAGTTCCATCTCGTTTTGTTTTTGAATCGTCTAAAGAGAAGAAAAGAGAGATAGCCTGGTCCCGAGAGACATGGTGGTAAGCTTACGACGTTTTTGCTTGAATATCATCGCCTGTTGTTCCCCTTTCCCTTGGGGCTTAGGAGAATTTGGGTCTGGTAACTGAGAAGGTAGTAATTTAATAATATAAGGCAAGCATTGAGATGCCCTGGAGATCCCTTAACTGGGAAATAGATTAGTTCCGCGCTTATCACCTTGGCTTTCATTAGAAGAGCCGTTGCAAGTTCAGGTTCGGGCCAAGCAACACGTAAACAAGAAACATGGACAAAAATGGAATTACTTTCAACATGCGCATGTGCCACAGCTCTTACTTCTCTTAGTATTAGAAATTTTCCGAGAAGAAGCGGAACGCTCGAAATAATCATGCATACATATTACACAAGCCACAAACTGTTTGGTAAAAAAAAACAAGACTATTCTGACTCTTGTACCCACTGCACACAAATCAACCTCTCACGCGCACTTATTCAAACGATCGAACTGGGATATAAATAACCGACCTGTCAATGGCCCCTGCAGATAGATTAGATCATAGGGCTGAGATACACCGGTGTGTTGGTGAACACAGAACCTTGTAGCCTTAAAGCTAACAAATACCAATTTCTATCGAGGCTGATTGGAGAGCGGAGAGTGAGATTCGTACACACAACATAATACAATCCTGGAAGGAAACGTGTTGTGGACGATCGATGGATGGACAGATGATATGTAAGGTACTTTACATGCATATTGTGTTGTAATGTTACTTTCTGTCTTTTCTCTCAATTATTTCTCTTAATTTTCCAACCGAAATACAGGCCCATAGTAAATGTGCATCTCAAACTCGATTAGAGTTTGATTGACGCTTCTTTTACGCAGTGAATCCACTCTCTTTACAGAATACCACCATTATAAGAAGTCCTCTAAATAAATGCGCCTAAACAATCCCAGTTCCTCCAAGTACCAAAGAAAGGATATTCAGGGATCTCGGGAATGGGAATGGATTGCGATGTGATGGCCATGACCATGACCCATGCCCCGCCAAAAGTACATGTAAGATTTAGCAATAGACTCCACTCATAGACCAAAAAATAGACTCTAGGGCATGTAATCACAATTGCATTTTTCTGTGTACAGTAACTACGAAGCCAAAGCGTACAAAGCTCGGTTCACGAAGGAGGCTGAGAACTTTGCAAAGTACCCGAGCCAACCTTTTGGACCATCTCACAACTGGGTATCTGACAATGCAGCAGATGTGTACATGATCTTAGTCTTTCGCGATTACTGGAGTAGGTGCGAAAACAAACGGGGATGATTATGGATGGGCAGACCAGGGAGCTTTAGGACGCCATGAGTGGATTTGTCAGGATTTGGTAGGTTATTCGTCTGGAGTTAATGTAGGTTCATTACTCAATTCCTTATTGCAGTATTTTTCTTACACTCTTACCTACCTAGGTATTCACTGCCTTGAAATACATGTGTTTGTTGTGTTAGCGTGGATTTCATATGGATTTGCATGGGGTCTCGTGGGCTCCTCAAGCTCCCAGAGTTGCTAACTGGGGCCAGAAGAGGATGAGGTGAGGCTTTGTCGTCATGATGAGTTGAGAATGCGATACTGTTATAACAATTTGAGAGCGCGGATGAGGAGGAGAGAAAGTATATAGAGTGGCAGCGTTTCCTGTGTTGAGGTTCTCATTCTCATCACCATCAACAGCCTTCACTACAATACAAGACAAACAAGACAAAGTTTCATATTACATTAAACAAACAGCCTCTTACTTAAACTCACTATCCAACGCACTTCAATATCATCTACTTAACAAATCTCTCCGATTTCAATTTGAAACACTTATATCAATACCCTCCACTATCTATCACATCAACTTATAACTCAATCTCAAACATGGCCGCACAAACTTCCACCTCAACCGCCTACTCCACATCCACCTCCTCTACTCCCCTCAACTTCGGACGAGGAGGTTACAATGGACCCAATAAGAATGACGAGGATGAAGACAGCTTCCGTCCTACAGTCTCTTCTCTCCGTCGCGGAGATGATGATGAGGAAGAAGATGGGCGAGGTGGATACAACTAAATAATTCCTTCTCTCGTTTCTTTATCGTGATCGGATAACCTGATAAACATTTGTTCGGTTAAACCCCTTCATCGCATCATATCCATATCATTTTCGGCGGTTTGATTTCGAGCGATTCAGCGATCCATCTTACCTGCATAGTACGGGCGGCATATACAACTATAGACTTCTAGATTGGCAACACAGCACATTAAATATCTAGTCTCACGACTACATCATAGCATTTTCCGGAGTTTTCAATTCGCATAAATTTCTCACTCTACACGGCTTTTGCATGTCCACCAGTTTTCACTTTCGATTCATTTCAAGATCAAGCAGTTTTCATCCTCACGGGTTTTTCTTCATTCTCTCTACTCTTCTTTTCTTTCACAACGCAACGCATAGATTTATCAGCATATACACGGCAGCATACACACGGAGTTGTCATTTTGTTTGCCCTTCTTTTTTCTTTCTTTCGATTTCCTTCTAGCATATTCTGAGAATTTCATTACGCATCTTCGTTACCATAAATCCAACATGTTGGGCTTGCAATTCAGATTGGCGAGTTTGGTTGCATTGCAGGCCGCATGCACATCTGGGGTGTCGTGGAACAAAGTTGATAACCATTTGGAGGAGTCACAATTTGGGGGCAATATTAAAATTTAAAGATTGGGATTGGAGGGATTGGAGCAACGTCGGTTGAAGGATGAATCATGATGATGCATTTGATGGAGTTTCCTATTTCTTTTTGGCATTTATCGGGTGTTACAGGGCATTGCATTACATAGAGCTTCTTTTTCTTCCATTACTTTTTCGGGTCATACTTCTTGTATTATTAATACACAAATATTTATACTTAGCAGAGATATATCACATCTATGTATTTATCTCATTTCTATTGTCTAACTTGCAAATATGCGTCTTGATTTCCGTCTCGCGTCTACTTGCCAACACAAAATCTGGGGGCCACAAAATCAGTCCACTGTACGTACAAGATACGAGGGAAAAAATCCATTTCACTTACTTTTCAAAAACTACGCCTAGAACTTCTTCAACATCACCAGCTTCACCCTTACCTGTAATTCGTGATAAGCAATTGGCTGCGGATCTAAGATGCTCAGCCGCCAAAACTATATCCGCTTCCCGTTCATGATCGACATGCTCTTGTGCTTCATCCATAAAGTCTAATAGATGGGCTGAGCAGGCTGTGAGAAGCTGGCGCTGACGTTCAGTAACACCGAGTAAATCCTCAAGTTCAGTCGGAAGAGATGTCATATTGCCGAAAAGAGATACCATCTCGTCAACGAAATGACCAATACTTCCTTTATCCGTTAACGCCTGAGCATTTTTACATGAAATTGACATCAACGGAACGGGATATTGATCAAATCTGCCTTTCTGAGATTTTTTGAAGTCATTTATAAGTTCTGACAGTATTCCAGGGGTTACTGAATCAGATTTATTAATAACGATCATGGATTTCGAGGCTCGAGCCGCTATCTCGAATGTCTCATGATCGTAGCGAATTTCCCACCCGTTCCGAATATCTGACCACTCTATACTGGCGAGGGCAACGATAAGATCTGACTCATTTGCCTTTGCTTTTGCTCTTCGAATGCCCTCTTGCTCTATATCCCCGATTATCGAGTCACTCTTGACACTTCCAATTTGTGAAGCTTGAGTTCTTAAACCGGCTGTATCTGCAAACGTGCACAGGTACCCACGAATATCTAAACCAACCTCGACAATATCTCGAGTAGTCCCAGCTTCTTGACTAACGATAGAAGCTTCTCTGCCAACAATTTGATTTAGTAGGGAACTTTTGCCGGCATTGGGTGGCCCTAGTAGAGCAATCCTAATTCCCTTCTTGAGTAATTCACCCCGATGACTTGCTGACTCATGTGCGGCAATCAATTCCAACATAATCTCGACTTGAGCTGTGACATTCGACAATAGCTCAGCTGGAGATTCATCGAAATGTTGGTCCTCGGAAAAATCAATCAATGCCTCCAATTCCCCCCGCGCATGCAACAATTGTTCTCGCCATGCTTCATATGTGCGACCAAGCTTCCCAGAATTTCCTCGCACAGCAGCGCGCCTTTGTTGCTCTGTCTCTGCAGACAATGTATCACTCAATGCTTCCACTTGCGCCAAGTCTAGCCTATCATTCTGGAATGCTCGACGTGTGAACTCTCCAGGTTCAGCATATCGGATCTTCGCAGGCGAGGTAGATTGTGGAATTGCGCTTAGAACTGCTTTGACTGTAGCTGAACCTCCATGCACATGTAATTCGAGGACGTCTTCACCAGTAACGGTTTTCGGCGCAGGGAAATAAAGAACTAAAGCATCGGAGTCGAGAATGTTTGGAATCGAGTTCGCCGGTTCATACAGTGTTCTAACAGCGGCATATCGTGGTGCTGGGATCGATTTAGATGGACACAAGCCTTGATAGATCTATAACAGTCAATACCAAAGACACATCAAGTGAAAGGAAGGCGCCATACATCGAGGCATGCGGAGCCAGATATACGTATGATAGCTATGCCGGCTCTGCCAGATGCCGTGGAAAGCGCATATATTGTGTCGTCTACAAACTCATTTCTAGTTTCCGCTTTTGTATGTAGAAAGGTCCTGAGATGTTTAGATTGACCGGTGAATATTGAGGTAATTGCAGGTCGAGCTGATGAAGAATAACCCCTCCGGCTAGGAATTATATGAAGTCTGCGATAAATGACATTGTGCCGTAAGTGCCTGGACCTTGAAGGTACACTTCGAAGCATTGACAAGCATCAACTTTGAGTAATATCAATTTTGAGTAATTCCTCGATTAAGTTGTCAATCGAATTTAAAAAGGCCGAGACAATAAACAAAGTGCCGATTGAATCCCACCAGCTCGCGAGGACTGGAGATTTGCACATCTGGTTTGTCTGTTCCGCCGGAGAATGCTACCCCGCTCCCGGTGAGCTTGTCTGTTTCTGAGTTTGACTTCGCTATAAATAAAACTGCATTGATGAGTGTCACTGGGAGTTGTCTGGTGTTTTGTATTAGGATCCTGAACGGGCACGAATGATGTCTTCTAAATATGATATTTTCTATAGAGCATTCAATTTGTAATAACATTTCTACCATCCTTATATACATTGATGCTAGTACTACAAATATCCACTCATAGATCGTGAACCTATATACGAAGGACTTCAACGGATTAGCTATGTGGTAGTAAGGCCCTTGTCTTAAAATCCCCCATGTTCATAGACAAGCACTCTGCGGCGAGCATGAAGAGACTCATTTGCATCCCTACGCGCCATCAACAAACACTATGTTAACCACCCTCTTCATATAAGAATTCTTTATAGATGTAAACACAATGCGTACCGTATTTAACAGAACTTCGTCACCTTATATACCACTCCTCATTACTAGAAACTCATCATACATCTACAAACCACTTTTGGGTCCACTCAACTCAATTCGTCTTATATTACTTAAGCCTTCTCTTTGCACAACATCGGCAATTCGTTGTTCGATAATTGAAAGTCGCTGGTCTTCCGAAACGCCAAAAGGAGAATCTGAAAAATTCATAGCTCTCTCCTACACATGGGGGAACGCCCAGAATCAGCGGATGATAGAAGTCGATGGGAAATCTTTATATATAACACGAAATTTGGAGTCGGCTCTGAGACATCTAAGACATCAGACAGAGGTTGTTCGTCTTTGGGCTGATGGTTTATGTATCAATCAATCTGATGTTGAAGAGAGAAACAGGCATGTGGCTCACATGCGGTCGATTTACTCTGCAGCCTGCGATACCGTTGTTTTCCTTGGTGAATCAAGTGAACGGTCAAGGAATATCTTTCATGCGATAAGGGATTCGAAACGAAAAGGGTCAGTAGACATTACAAAAGAGACTTTAACATTGGCAAATCTTACCCAATCTTGGGGAATAAGTCAAGAAGAAATCAGAAATTCAGCATCTGAAGTTCTTTGGCGTCCCTATTGGAGCCGGGTATGGATCTATCAAGAGATAATTGTATCCAATCGAATATGGATACAATGCGGAACAATAAAAGTTTCATGGAATGATTTTTACTACGCTATGGTTGTAGCTCTAAGTACTAGCACAAGCTATTTTGGTGCAGGCTATGATAATGTGATCAAGAATCGCCTGGAAGATTTCTATTGGGAACGACTTGAATATCGAAAGTCACTTGGAAATGACGAGAAATCACCACTACCACTGTGTGGTCCACCTCATATACCTGAAGATGGAAAACGATTGAATCTTCTTGATCTTCTTGTGACCAAGAGAGGTTATATGGCCTCAGACAGTCGAGACATGATCTATGCACTATCTGGCATTGCTAAAAGACCGAAAGGTACACAGCCGTTTACGATAAGTTATGAAAAATCGCCTCGGCAAGTATATTCAGACGTTGTCAACTATCTCATTGAGACTGACAAGAATTATGACGTTTTGAGTCATGCAGAACAATATTTCAATCATGCCTACCATACTCGACCATTAGTGCTATCATGGATGCCATCTTGGGTGCCAGACTGGACAACCCGTGCAAAATACAAACAAAAGATTGTTGACTGGGTTAAACCTCTTCATAAATCAAGAAGTGCCATCTTGAATAGTGCATATCTCGAAGATCAAGGAGTTCTCGCTTGCGTGGGCTACAAAATCGGCATCATAAACCTAGTTACTGACTTCCCTCGCGATATTCAACGCAGTGACGAAGGCAGAGTAGGTCGAATACTGTGGAATGAGTGGAAAGATAGAAAGCTTCCGGATAGTGTCTTGGAACTTTTCAATCGCTTACATCCCTTGATATACAATCGAAGATATGCCGAAACGCTTGAAGGTATGTGTTGTTTGGTACCAGGAGGGACACAAACTGGTGATATTGTTTGCCAATTCATCGGCAGTTCATTACCATATATTCTCAGGCCAATTCAATCGACGGATATCAAGTCTGGAAGAGTATGGAGAGCTTGGAAGACATTGCTGTATCTCTCTCGCTGGTGGAGTAACTCGAGGGTACCAAGACAAGAAGTCCCTACCAAATTCCTAGATGCCGAAATCTCAACCATTCTAGAAAACAAAACATCAGGACACCAAACTCTCGAAATTAGACACTATAATTTTGTAGGAGAATGTTTTGTGGATCGATTGACGAGTAACGAAAACAGTCAAACTCATCAACGGCAACATTTTCAAGAGAGGACCGTATTCGCAATGCATTGAAAAGAACAGATGAGATTCGCTGGTAAACTGGCTTCGAGTATAAAATCGATTTGTGAAAGCTTTGATTTTTGAAAACTGTGGTTCTATACTTTTGACCAACAAAAAGCATAAGGATCATGCAATGTATCACGAATTCGCTGTCTGTATGGATGGATGGATGGATGGATGAGATCTGCCCCCATCCCGTCCTACTCGCATCTGCAAAGTTCTTTTGGTAAGATTACAATGCTCATAGCATCAACGCGAGAAGTATCTTCTCATAATTCCACCGAAAAGGGAATGGATGAAGTCACAGGCAATCACCACTTGAAGCCTTTTCCAGATTAAAGCTTCTTCAGTGGTACTTGGCAGCAGCCGACAAAAGCCAGAACGCTCGTCCGGCTGGTCTTAACATTATCTATTATGCAAATTATTAAAATGGCTGTGACCATATCCCCTCTCCCCTAGAAGATCTATTGAGTGTTTCAAATGTGAAAGAATTTCGAAAATGTTGATTTTCATGTGAATGTGGCATAAGATCACGAGTTGGTTAAAGTCGCCTGCCGCGCAAACACCAAATCAAACCATGATTCCAGGACGAGACAATCGCGTCATATTACTACTATCACAGCCACAAACTACAGTACGATACAACCTCAAGATATAATGTCTTTATACCGCCGCTGTCAACTTAATACTTTGTGATACTTGAGATTATTCAACTACATTTCTGCTTGACTGCAACTTCAGTGAGACTTACAAATATCCCATTATCGTGGCAATGACGTCGTCTTCTGGCCCCGCAAGACCGGTATCGCCGAACAGCTTCTATGCTTTGAGCGACGACGAGGAGGGCGATTACAATACCGTTACATATGCAGAGTCGGGTAGAGGGGTCAAATTACTTTTCTCCAAGAGCAAGGTAATTATTTCCGGCAGCTTGGTGTTTCAAGCAAAGTGCGGGGTCGTTCAAGCAGCTTGTTACTAACATCACAACAATAACTACAGGTTTATATTCATCCTACTCCTTCTGCGAAAGATAACATACCCGGATACATAGCTCTATTACAACAGAAGTCAACTCCAGATTCGCGACCTACATCTTCCTCCTCTAAAGATGCAAAATCTAAGATTTCCGCCTCCTTACTCCTGGCATGGCTTCCAGAATCATCTCTTGGGGATTCCTTGAATACATATGTGAAGGTTGATCTTGCAGAAGGCGATTCTCCACCTAAGCAATCATATCTTGTACCACCTCCTCCAACAACCACCACCCATTCTGGATCCATCGGTCATTATGCCTTCGCTATACCCGTCTCGCAGATTTATAGCCTTCTCGTACGACCACCGAGCTTAGGGTGGTGGTTTGGAAGTGTCATAATAAACTCCCGAGCAGGAGATTCCTTCCCTGCACTATTCTTTCACGACTCGGAATGTCAATCTACAATTTTACAAAAGAAAAAGAGGACGAGGGAATCATTCGATCCATTTGGCGCGAATGGAGAGATGTTTTGGGGTGGCGATGAGGTGTTAAGGTGGATGAGACGATATGTTGAGATTGAGAGAAGTGGTGCAGAACCCAACATTTACTTGGTGGAGCCTTCGGCTGAAGATAAAGAAGCGTTTGGAGACAAACTAGTCACATCTGCGCCGGTGAGGAGACCATCAAGCAGTGGTGCCAGAGTTGGAAGTGCTGCTGGTACAGGTTCGAGTGCATACAGAAGTGCGCAGAGAGACGCCGGGATGGATCCAGTGACAAAGTTTGTAAAGGAAGCAGGATGGAATCTGATGGAGAAGTTTAGTAAGGTTACGACATTCACGAGGAGGACGGCCGATTCAATTGTTGAAAATCCGAAAGTACCGCCACAAGTTAGGAGGTTCATGAAGAACCCGGAAGTTCAGACAATACAAGAGGAGTTTGATAGTGCTAGGATATACTTGGCGCGATGGGCTATGGGTATCGCAGAGCAAAGTGAAAGGGATAAAAATCAGAGGATATGGACAGCCAGAGATGTTTTAGAAATGGAGGAGACAGATGTCGGCGAATTCGAGTTATTGGAAACAGAAATGGGTTCTTTGACTATGAGGGAACAGAGAAAACCCGTAACATTTGGAGAATGGAACACGTTTTTCGATCAACGGACTGGCAGATTATCTGTTACTGTAGATGAGGTTAAAGAAAGGATATTTCATGGTGGACTCGACCCAGAAGATGGAGTTAGAAAAGAGGCCTGGTTGTTCTTGCTCGGTGTTTATGAATGGGATTCCTCAGCAGATGAGAGAAAAGCCGTGATGGCAGCTTTACGAGATGAGTATGTGAAATTGAAAGGTGCTTGGTGGGACCGTTTAATCGACTTGGGTGGTGAAGGAGAAGAAGGGGAGTGGTGGCGAGAACAGAAAAATCGAATAGGTAATAAAACTCAATATCCTATCATTTTGAAGACTTGAAAAGGCTGACATATCCCATTGCTTGGGGTCCACACGATAGAGAAAGATGTTCATAGGACGGATCGTAACATCCCACTATACGCAGGCGAAGATACGCCACATCCAGACCCGAACTCACCATTTGCTGATGTGGGTACCAATGTTCATTTGGAGCAAATGAAAGATATGCTTCTAACCTATAACGAATACAATCGCGACCTTGGTTATGTACAAGGCATGTCCGATCTTCTTGCTCCAATATATGCTGTCATGCAAGACGACGCCATCGCTTTCTGGGGGTTTCAACATTTCATGGAGCGTATGGAACGTAATTTTCTCCGGGATCAATCAGGAATGCGCTCTCAGCTTCTCACCCTCGATCACCTTGTCCAACTTATGGATCCCAAGCTTTATCTCCACCTTCAAAGCGCGGATAGTACTAATTTCTTTTTCTTCTTCCGCATGTTACTCGTCTGGTATAAGCGTGAATTTGCATGGTTGGACGTTCTACATCTTTGGGAGGTATTATGGACGGATTACTTAAGTCAAGGGTTCCATCTTTTCATTGCTTTAGCAATTTTAGAGAAACATAGGGACGTTATCATGACACATCTGCAACATTTCGATGAAGTGTTGAAATATGGTATGTTTTCATATTCACGACATAAGATTCAAGGATGACAAATACTAACGAGACATAGTTAATGAATTATCCAATCAGATAGATTTGGAATCTACTCTTGTTCGTGCGGAAGCACTATTCCGTCGCTTCCAGAGAACAGTTGAGGCTATTGATAAAAAGTCAAATTTCCCAAAGCCATCTATTAGACACCGTGCTACTCAAAATACATCACAAGTTGCTGAGCCATCTGACTCTACCAGCGCATCAAGTGGTATAGATATGGGGAGTAGTACAATCGAGGGTGCAAAAAAGGACAAAGGAAAGAAGCCAACCAATGGGGAATTGGAAGATATTCCCGAGAGGCCAAAGGTTATTAGCAAGGAGCTGAGAGAATTACTAAGTAGGAAGGTGATGATCTTGCCTAGGAAGGTGGTCAGGAGAGAAGGAGAGGGTTTGGCCAAGGTGCAGAAGCAATAGTGAAGTTGTGGGAAGGGAATATGGCAATGGAAATATGGATCAGGCGTTTAGGTCACGAAATGTACGCTCAATGAGTTATTTGGGTTGCAATGGTTTGGTAGGCGATGTATTGAAGGTATTTAAGGGCCATGCGGGTATTTTCATGTTTTGGTCGAATGGAAATGAATTATTTATAACATCTCAGTCATGATTGTGTTATACATGCGTACTACATCATTACTATTTCCTGGCATTGCTGCAATTATGTTGCAATGATTGGAACTCACGTCCGGTATGCATATAAATGTTCATAAATTCTTGCATTCAATTCTTTTGCCCTCGCTCCAAATCTCGATAGAAGCAAATGTGATATCGAGCATTTCCGTATGCTAAATCGGCCACTCGTATACTCACATCTGCATTGACCCTTTTGATACTTTCCATTGACTCTTTGTTATTCTTATACTACTCTCCCCTTTCTGATACAGATGATGTTTCGATGGGCAGGAGTTCAAAGACGGAGGTCATTTGTGCTCTCCACCAGTTTCCTTGTCCTCTTGGTGAGCAAGTTTCAAGGTCCCTGTTGATTTATACCCTTTCGTTGACATCCTGACTCCAATTGTCAGTACAATCTTCATTCCATCGCCGTTTCCTGTTTCCCAGATTGATCGTTACAAATGGAGGATGAAAGTCTGGGATACATACAAAAAGCTAAATAAATATCCCAATGTACTCATTTTACCTTCAGTACCTCTAGATTCTTCTCTTCTGATTGTCCCATTCTTATGCAAAATTGGCGCAGCGGTATTAGATGGTGAAGATGGTGATGCTGAAAGTGAGTAGATATCGGGTGATATTATTACCCAATCATTTATGTCTTCCTCTTCTAATTGCTGTTGGGAATCATAAGCAGGAGGAGAACGAGAACTGGTGCAAAATTCTGAAGCAGAGATATCTTGAGTGAGGGGGGAAGGTGGACAATCTCTGGTGCGAGGGATAGAAGTTTTAGAAAATTGACGGTGCGAGATGGGGTGGAACCATGGTTGGGGAGTAGGTGGTTTCGTCGAGGGTGAGGACACAGAAGGGGAAATTGAAGGAGATGGCGGAGCTAGGGAATCAAAACTTGTTTGTAAGGAATCGAAGAATAGTGCTTTGCAAAATGGTGGAACGTCAGTGGGTTCTTTGCTTGACGCGCTGGATGTCCTGAGCTCTCGGTTGATTGTGGATGTGCTGCTGTATTCACATTCATACGAGTCACGGTTGATATTCGAAGTGGCTGGAGAGGGAATATGAATTTGAGCCGGTGGTGTAAGTGGAGTGCGGGGTGGTAAACGAGTAGGAGCGGGAGGATAGGGAGGGAGGGTATCCGAATCTGAAGTTGAATCTGGTTCATCGGAAGGAGGGAGGAATACCCAAGTAGGAGGTCGCGGTCGATTGATTATCAAGGTTGTATCTGCGGTTGAGGGGGGTGTATGCGGCATCCTTATCGGGATTGAGGTGTGTAAGCGGCGAGGAATGAAGCCTTACCGTGTTGGATTGGAAACTTGATTTCACTATTGTTGGAGAGCTGTCTGCATCAAACTTCGCATTCAGAGAATCAGAGATAATCCAAAAGTTAGGATTTAAAGCATCGAAACAAAATGGAATGAAATGAAGTTCACGATAACATGATGTGAGAAGCTCTCATTAAAGCGAACACGCTTTCACATATTTCAAGTAGGGTTCCTTTGTCCTGATTCGTGGATTCGATCGACCTCTTTGTTCAGAGACTATTCAATGATTTATGATGTGACTTTCGAGATGATGAGGAAGATATGTTGGTCGAAAATTCAATGATTCCCTTTGTTTGATATTTGATGCTTGCGGGAAACTCAGCAGAGTATAGCATCGGGGTGAGTGGACTGTTCGTAGACCCGAGTACGGAAATTCGGAGAAAGAAATTGCCTCCAGGAATCTTGGGGAACTTTGTGAATTTGGAATATTGTATGATGAGATTTGTACAAGGTTGACCGCATTTGCACAGCATTTGTGGTAGTAGTCTATGCATCAATTGGCATGTGAGTAGTATGGTTGAGGCGAATCGATGCAAACATCACAATTCCAATGATGTGTAGGATTGAGACTTTTTGATGTTCAAACTTGACATTGAGAACATTTGTTCTGGTACAATTGAATATCAATAAACATATGGTTGATTGATTCTTAGTAGGGTTTGTAACTTTCCCTATCGATAGACATCATCCACGAAGAATGTGGAAAGGTGGTAGGTTTCCAGATTAAACCAAAATCATGGATGAGAATGTGAACCTCGTTTTCAGCGCCATGGACTCCCAGTTTCACGTGCAATGAAAAGGATATCTAATCCACGTAAAAAAACTCGATGGGCGTTCTCTCCCAAATGACTTTTACTCAATCTCACTTTAGTAGAGCACCTGTGCAGGAGATTATTTGCAGATCATCTGCAGGTGTAGTTTTTTCGAGCAGCCTATTTTCCTCTCAGAGCCTATCCTCGACCTTTGCTTGTCCGATACCTTTAGCTTTACAATCCAATAAAGCTCCTCTTAAAAGCGCCTCAATAACATTCTTCATGGTCTCCGCATTGGTACTTGCGGGAGACTTGAATGGGTTCTCCTCATCTTCATTCAATTGAGCCGCCGCATCAAGTTCCTCCTGGGTAGCAGTCTCTGAATTCATTTTCGGAGTAACACCTACAACACGATGTAGTTTATCATGATCCGGTTGTCTTTCATAATTGGGAGTTTCAAGGACGTCTAACGCATCCAAGACAGCCTTAGGACATGTGCCTAGAGCAGCTAGCACATCATAGACTATGACTTTGCAATACTCCACAATTTCTTCACTTTCTGGATCCGGAAGCAGCTCGGGGTTTATCTCGCGTTCTCTCGTGTCGAAATAAGTGGTTCTTCTCAATAGGAACCATTGCTGATCGCGATCTTTCATGATTGGGGCAGGCTTCCCATTGATCATCCTACATGCTCCCTTGTAGTAAAGTATGTTTTGAGGTGCTTCTATATCTCTCAAAGCGATTCCCAAAATTTGTCCAGTTTCAGCCATTTCTGAAAATATTGTAGGTCTTAATGGTGTGCCATAGGCTGCGATCTTGTTATAGACCACTGAAGAGATTTCTTCTCGATCTAGAAATGAATGGAAATCTTGCGCAGATGGCCAATGAAAGTCATTGTTGGCAGCTCCTTGGTCAGCCTTGAGGATACTGTGATTTTTGGGCTCTTTGGTGTCATCTCTGGATTGATCGAGTTTGTAGTTACCTTGTAGGACAACCTTGGCTATCACATGCTTCAAAGGGTGTAACTGTGAGGAATCCTTTGGCCGCAATGATCTTTCAAACTCAGAAATATCTTGTAGCGAAGATATAAGCAAGAACGTTAGCTTATAATTGTCTCTCTCGGCGTTATTCTTGAGATGCTGCAGAAGTTCTAGGCCTCTAGGTTGCTTAGGATAAGGTTTTTGCCCCATGACGCTTACAGGGAATTCATATAAATCTGGGGAAATGTTCTTTTCGGTGCCTCTGGTGCCTTGTCCAACAGGTATATCCTCAAGACCGAGAAGATTGAGAGATTGACGTGCGAGGTGCGCCCTGTCGTCTTCCGGTAGCAGGTTTGCTATAAAACCTTCGAGTTTTATTGCACCCATACGATGTAGCTCCTTCAAAAGTATCATAGCCGCGAGATCATCATAGTCTTTACCGACATCTGTGACGACAACAACGTGCGGAATATCAAAGTTCTGTTTGCGCAAGGTACTAACAGCATGTATGATTTTTTGATAGACGACCGTCTCTAGGTCATTGAGGCCATCCGGAATAGCGTTATGACTTTTTAGACCAGTCATATTGTATTTTTGAAAGAAGGATTCCAGCTTTGATGCAATATGGCATAGAATATTTTCGTGGATGTACGAAGTAGAAGAATCCATTCTGAGAATGATGTGGGAAGAAACTATATATGTTTCAAAAATCCTGTGCAATAACGATCATCGTATACAGGAGTTTAAACCTGATGAATCCAATATGATTAATGAATCAAGTATGATCAATCAAAGAGGGGTGATTCATGTTGGAAAGCTGCAAATTTGTTTGAATGATTGAATGGAGTAATTCAAAGGCCTAGGTGGCCTTCTTCATGGGGCTATCTAGGTTGCTGCGGCACGAAGCCAACGTACAATGATTCCAAAGACAAAGACAAGTAGGTACCTTGGTGGGTAAATGAGATAGATATTCGGGCAGCACAAAATAGGACCTTTTGCAGGCCAGTTTTGCGAACGTCTTATTTTCCTCTGATGATTGTGAATAACCTCAAAAGATTGAAAGTCAAATGGATGTCATGACTAAATAATGACAGGGCAACCTAAGGCTGAGAAGCTGGCGTTCTTCTAGGCGCTCTCGACGCTACACTCAATCATTCTAGCAAAGTTCTTCGTAAAGTAAGGCTCTCCTTATTCATGGGGTTAGCGAAAGGCGAGATGGCATGCGTTCCATGCCATGCCCATGCTTAGCTCGGATGTCGATGTTACCGACACCGACATACCAATCCTATAGCCTCGTCCAGCCTAGAGTACTGACCATCGTTCATCGCAAAGCCATTTTAAACAATTCAATCACCGCAGTCAATCACCTCCATTATGGATCTCTTATCTACTATACGAAAATCGGGTTCACGAGGAGGTGTAAACTTTAGTTGGGATGAGGTTCAAAGTTCCCAAGTAAGCAACCCCCCCACCCGACCAATCAATCAATCGAATGGTTGCCGTTTACTCACAAAATATTCTCGCAGCATCGAGAAAATTACCTTGGCCATTCCCTTATGGCCCCAGTTGGTCGATGGCAAAAGGGAAGGGATTTGAATTGGTACGCAAAGGGAGACGCTGAAATGACGAGCAATGAGACTGCAGAAGAGAAACAGGCACGAGAAAGAAAAGAAGAGATTCGAAAAATTAAAGAGGCTGAGGAAGATGCGATAGCAAGGGCTCTAGGATTACCGGTCGCACAGCGTGGTGAAGCTACAGGAGCAAACAACGTGGAAGTTGGGGAATTGAAAAGAGTTATTAAAGAATCAGAAGAAGGAACCGATGATGCTGAAGGCATGGGAAAGGGTACCGGATTTAGCGATTATGTTGGTAATACTGATGGGCAAGAGGTTCTGCAGATAAAATCCGAGCCTTCAGAGCAGAGAGGTGGATTACTGAGGAATGACCGCAATAATGAAAGAATCAATAGATCCGGGGGGGATAGAGAAGGGCGATTAAAGAAAAAAGATGGACGAAGACATCGAAGTCGAAGCAGGGATCATGAAAGAGAACGAAATCACAGGAGGCATCGACATAGATCAAGAAGTGGTGAACGGGAACATCATAGGCGTCGACATGATGCTAGTCCACGAAGAAGGGCAAGAAGTCGTAGTCCAGCAGCTCGACCCCGCAGATATCGGAGCAGAAGTCCAGATCAAAGACATCGATCAAGGCGAGAAGATGAGGGTTCTAGACACAACAATCCACGGGAGCGAGTGCCTCGAAGAAGTCGCTCGCCAAACATACAAGGCAGAGAAGAAAGGGTGCCAGAGAAACGACGTTAACTTCATTATTTTTGGTCTCACATATGGCGAGGGAGTCATCGAAATGGCGTTGATAATATGACAAAAGTATACCCATTTGTAGTATTCTGTCTACTGAAATACATATCAAGAATACAAAGGAGTGATCTAAAATTGTTCCCATACTTGATGGTATCTCTATTTGATTTCCAAGATTACCTGTTGACTTATACCATAGAGATTATCTATATCATCACGGTATGTATATACGCATCCAGTATCATTCAGCACCTAGGTAGGTGTCGTTCATCAGGTATAGCACAATACCTTCTGCAGCCTTACTTCGTATTCGTAGCCTTATCCCGTGGAACTAGATGCCTTCCTGCAGGTAACCTTATCCATCCTCGCCATTTAACCCACCGCGCTTTTGATAGAATTTTGAAGTATTACATTTCTTCTTGAACAGTACCCAAATAATTTGATGTTTTGCAACTCAAGCGTTATCTTTCGGTTATCCGTTCATTAACTACTTTGCTATTATTTAATCCTTAAATTCATTAGACTTTACGTGTTCTGGAACCCGCTAGAGTAAGATAGTGTGTCTCAGCCTTCCTTCTAGCCTTCCCTACGCTGGTGATAAACAACCGCCCATTCACATCATAACTCCTTACTATAGACACTACTTCTCATAGGCATACCTCATACATACAGCAAGCTGTCATTCATATTAAAGCATGGTTCACAGGAGATAAGCTTCTAGCTTGTTTGATTGTCTGATATATTCCCTCCAAATTTATCGAGCTGTCGAGGGGAGGCAAATCGACACTCTGCGAGATCAACAGCATTCATTATCGTCATGGACTTTACAAAATTACGAGCAGCTGCGCTGAACGATGGTGATGATGAGGAGGCCG